ATATATGCCGAATAAAACTTTCTTTTTGCTTTAAAAAAAAAAAATCAGGAAAGGCTTTACAAGGTCTAAATGAATAGGAAAGCTTATCTATCAGTATGGGAGTTACTCTAGTATGAAGGGACAGCATGTGAAAAAGTCAGAGAGGTCTGTAAAGTGTTTGGCAAGTTTGGAGAGTAGTAAGAAATTCTGCATGAATAATGGGATGCCCTGGTGGCACAATGGTTAAGTGTTTAGCTGCTAATCAAAAGGTTGGCAGTTTGAACCCACTCAGCCACTATGCAGGAGAAAAACCTGGCAATTTGCTTCCCTAAAGATTGTTGTTGTGTGCCAGCGAGTTGGGTTACAGCTAAGAAAACCCCCTGGGGCAGTTCTACTCTGTCACATGGGGTCGCTGTGAGTTGGAATAAACTAGATGGTACCCAACAACAGTGGGGATAAGGGATGTGATGGGGCTCTCATGAGAAAGCATTTAGAATATCTGAAATATTACATTTTTTTTTTTTTAGCGTGACAATTAGAATCTTATTTTAGAAAAATTACTCTTGCAACAGTTTATAAAGGGTAAATTGAAAGGAGAGGGATTAGAGGCCAGGAGACAAATTAAAACCCTTGCTAAAGTTCGAGAGGGAAAGAACTGAACGTAGTGACAGCGAGGATGGACAGACATGGACAGTCTGCGGGTGAATGAACAAAGCTAGGCAATGGAAGGGAGGAATACAGGAAAGCGAAAAGTTGAAGATAACAGATGTTTTTAGCAACAAGAACTAGTGAGATGGTCATTACTGCTAGGTGAGACAAAGGAGCCCTGGAGAAGATTTGGAAGACTGAGTGAGTAGGTGGTGGAAGAGACAAATTCATTTGGAACATGTTTATTTGAAGGAGTGCAGAAGGTAGCTAAATTTCCTATAGAGTTGAATTACACTTATTTTTTAGTTCACCAAAATTAATAATTTGGGAGAGTTCATGGGGAATTAAAGTAGCACTTAGTTTTAAGAAGTTGATGACAATTATCTTTCATTTAGTCATATTCTCTTCTATAATAGAACATTTAAATAAAATCTTGTGTAGTTATTACCACTGAAATATATTTTTTCTTAAATTAGCTAATATTTACAGGATTAAGATATATGCTGTTTAGTTTTCCTAATAAGATTGTAAATGCCTAGAAAGGTAGGATACTCATTATTTCTTCCATATTTCCTCTCAATACCTACTACCTGCAAAGATAAAAACACACCTTTTGTGATCGATCATGTTGTTCTCGCTAGGTGCAGTCGAGTCTGTTCCAACTCATAGCGACCCTAACACTGCACCATACTCACAATCGTTGTTATGCTTGGGCCTATTGTTGCAGCCACTGTGTCAATCCATCTCACTGAGGATCTTCCTCTTTTTTGCTGACTCTCTACCAAGCATGATGTCCTTCTCCAGGGACTGATCCCTCCTGATAACATGCCCAAAGCACGTGAGACGAAGTCTCGCTGTCCTCGCTTCTCAGGAGCTTTCTGGCTGTACTTCTTCTGAGACAGATTTGTTCATTCTTTTGGCAGCTCATGGTATATTCAATATTCTTTGCCAACACCATAATTCAAAGACATCAGTTCTTCTTTGGTCTTCCTTATTCATTGCCAAGGCTTTGCATGCATATGAGGTGATTGAAAACATCATGGCTTGGGTCAGGCGCACCTTAGTCTTTAAAGGGACATCTTTGCTTTTTAACACTTGAAAGAAGTCTTTTGCAGCAGATTTGCCCAATGCAATATGTCGTTTGATGTCTTGACTGCTGCTTCCATGGGCATTGATTGTGGATCCAAGTCAAACGAAATCCTTGACAACTTAAATCTTGTCCGTTTATCATGATGTTGCTTACTGGTCCACTTGTGAGGATTTTTGTTTTCTTTTTGTTGAGGTGTAATCCATACTGAAGGCTGTAGACTTTCATCTTCCATCAGTAAGTGCTTCAAGTCCTCTTTGCTTTCAGCAAGTAAGGTTGTGTCATCTGCATATAGCAGGTTGTTAAAGAATCTTCCTCAAATCCTGATGTCTCATTCTTCTTCACATAGCCCAGCTTCTTGGATTATTTGCTCAGCATACAGATTACCGATGGTGAAACACAACCCTGTCGCACACCTCTCCTGACTTTAAACCACGCAGTATCTCCTTGTTCTGTTCGACCGACTGCTCTTGATCTATGTACAGGTTCCTCATGAGTGCAAATGCTTTGGAATTTCCATTCCTTGCAATGTTATCCATAATTTTATTATCCACACAGTCAAATGCCTTTGCATACACAGTCAATAAAACGCAGGAAAACATCTGATTGTCTCTGCTTTCAGCCAAGATCCATCTGACATCAGCAATGATATCCCTTGTTTCACAATCTCTTCTGAATCTGGCTTGAATTTCTGGCAGTTCCCTGTCAATGTACTGCTGCAAACCCCTTTGATTGATCTTCAGTAAAATTTTACTTGCATGTGATATTGATATTGTTCGATAATTTCCACATTTGGTTGGATCACCTTTCTTTGGAATAGGCATAAATATGGATCTCTTCCAGTCTTGCATATGATCGTGTAGTAAGGAAAAATAATTTTTCTACATAAACAATCTTCCTTGGATGGAATACATGCATTTTCATCAACATTCACATTTCCTCTCATCCTTAACAGTCAAAAGGTTATATACAATTGAGGGTAAACAACTGAGACAGCATAATTCAGGGGCTATTTATTTTTTGCAAACATTACCAGCTAGACCTGGCCATAGCGCACTTGAAATGTGTAGTGTAGCTGAGTGAGGAACAGGATTTAAAATTTGACTTAATTCTAATTTGAAAACTGGCAATTGATTCAGTTATTGGGAAACATTTAAGTATGTTTTGAATGACCTGGATATGCACATCACATCTACTTTTTCAGTATAAATATTCTAAAATCTAAATACAGATCAAATATTTCTAATGAAATTTATTGTCAGAATTGAGATGTGCTCTAAGCGTACAATACACACTGGATTTAAAGGCTTTGTACACACAGAAAAATGTAAAAATATCCCACTAATACTTTTTAAAAGTATTGACCATACTGAAAAAAGGTTACATGGATCAAATAAAACAATTACTAAAATTAATTTTACTTTTTTTTTTTACTTTCTTATTGTGGCTACTAGAAATTTTAAAATTATGTATGTACATTATATTTCTATTAGACAGTGCTGACCTAGACAAAAGCAATAGGATTAAATGAGAGAAAGGTATCTTATTCTTATGAGAAATATTCTGATCTAATCAATTTTCTAAAAAGCATTTATACTTGAAGTCTTTATCCTTCTATGTTCATATCTATCTCCCTCTTAGCCTAACAGCTGGGCAAGCCAGTTGGCTTTAGACAGCTCCTGGAGTTTCTAAGGATTATTTCTTGGCAGTTTTAAAGAAGCACTAATTGAAAGGTTAATCAAATCAGTGATGCTTGTATGTTGGTTAAATAAACACCCTGTCTCCACTGATGATTAAACAGATGCCTTGTACTTTACCCAGAAGGTCCATTTATTCTGTAATTATCTTTATAGTTCCAACTAGTATGACAGCAGTTTGAATACTTTGTAAATCAAAATTTTATCCCAACTTAGGAAACTCTTCCACACTTCCAGCATTCCACAAAATTAAAATATTTCATAGCAACAGACATTCCATCCGTGGTAGATGAGGGAAAAGGTTAGTTCTAGAGATAAGTAAGTTTGCTTAGGTACGAAAAGACAGGCTTAAAAGTAGACACATTTTGAGGCAGGGTTTTTTAAAAATACAAGTGCCACCATGAAAACACTGGCTTTAGGGTGCATTTTGCATAACTCAAGGATCCAGTAAGGGTTAAGTATTTCCAGTACACAATATACATGTCAGTCACATTTAACAAGATGTGAATGTGTGCCCACATGGTATCCCATCACTGTGATAGCACCACACAAGGTCAAGGGCTAGACAGGTAGTGGGTAATGTTGAAGATATTGATCCTTCCTTAAAAAATTTGAAATTGTGTGGCAATGTCTGTAAAGTCAATTTCCTTTCCATTTGTAAAAATAACTCCACTACCTTATCAGAGTTGAGAGAAATATCTGAAGTAATGACATCTTCAGAATGTTAACAAACATCAAAGCCCTACATGAATTCTGAGAAGTCCTATTAAATGGAATTCGTCATGTGTTAAACATTTTTAATACATATGCTCCACCTATCCTGTTTGAGACTTAAATTGTAGAGACTGTGCAATTAACAAATAAATTCTCAAATAAATCACACACATCTCTAGGGAACACATCTCGGAAGTTAGCATGGAAGCAGATTCTTTTTAAGGAACATATCTGATGAGGGGAAACCCTGGTGGCATACTGGTTAAGAGCTATGGGTGCTGACAAAAAGGTTGGCAGTTTGAATCCACCAGGCGCTCCTTGGAAACTCTGAGGGAAGTTCTACTCTGTCCTATAGGGTCACTATGAGTTAGAACCGACTTGACGGTAACAGGTTTTTTTTTTTTTGGTATCTGATGAGGGAAGTGATGTGAGAGCAACTCAACATCTATGACAGTATCCAGCAATATGATTTTAAATATATTAGCAGTTATTCCCCTAATTTTATCTTAAAATGTGGTAACCTCCAATTATTTTATTGTAGCTATAATTCAACAGGAGCTGCATTAGAATCGAGACTTGGAATAGAAGCAGGGCTAATATGGGTTGTTTGGGGCATCACTGGTTCTGATTGGTTGCCGCTTGTGCTGCAGTGATTGCTAAGTATTTCTAATATACCACTGCCTGGGGGTTTATCTGGAGCCCTGGTGGTGCCATGGTTAAGTGATAGGGCTGCTAACCAAAAGGCTGGCAGTTCAAATCTACCAGCCGCTCCTTGGAAACCCTATGGGGCAACCCTACTCTGTCCTCTAGGGTTGCTATGGGTCGGAATTGACTCGACCGCAATGGGTTTGGTTTCTTTTTTTTTGGTTGGGGGTTTATTTATTATATTGATAGAAAATGGCTGCCTTCCAGAAATTATTTCTTTAGGAGAAAATCTGCTAGAAAATATTTTGCCTTGAAAAAATGTGATCCAGTTTGATACAAATCATCTAAGTTATACAAAAAATATGGACCAACAAAGAATCACTCAGTTCTAAGTACAGTTCAAAAGTACATTTATTTAAAATGTGGGCAAGATATCAATATAAAAGAAAACGGAGTATAAGAAATAAAAATAATCGAAGTACAAAACAGTTCATTTCTTGAACATCCATAATTTAAAGATAGCAAGGTCTTTATTTACACCATTTTACTTGTAGCTGAAGTTCCATAACAGTTTTTTGAAAACATTTAAAAACCTGGCAAATGAATCATAAAACCTAATGTGGGCTCTTAAATTCATATAATACAAAACATAATTTATGTTTCCTTAGAATAAAATCACACATCTTAATAAGATGCAGTTAATTTATTATATTTGTTTTCCTGCTTTAAAATGCTTGTCCCCTAAGAAAGCAGCTGGAAAACAAGAGCGTCTGCGGAAGCCCTGGGTGCTCTATCCAACAGCTCGAACAGCCAGATCTTGTGCTCCAGGACTCCAGAGGCACGCAGCAGCTTAGATGCCATCAATTAAATTTATATGTAGGCGTGTTGAGGAAAACAATGTGCAAACACAATGTACAACAGTAACATTAAATAAGGGATTCTAATTTTAAATTAGTTAACTAGCTTCAAGTACATTTAATAAGAATGTTACAGCATTTTTCTTATCCATAAACCAGCTAGTCTGGCAGCATATCCAAACCACAGGAAATGTAAAATCCTGATGCACAGGTCTCACTCTGGCTAAGTAAACAGGATCTCTGCAGCTTGGACCCAGGCAGCAATACTTTCTCAAGCTACCTAGGTGATTTCAATGTGTAGCCAAAGTTGAGATCCAGTAATAGTGGGACTCTCCTTCAAACTCACAGATGCAATGCACAATACTGATAAGTTGATATCCCAAAAGGGCCACCAAAAAAAACTGATTCCCATCAGTCTCAAGAGCACCTGCCAACCCCTGCAATTCTAATCCAGCCACTGGGGCAAAATCAGGTTATTTTCAGGCTATAGATCTGAACAAAGGGTCCTGAGGTAACACCCACAAATCACCCATATAATTTTTAAAGCAATCCTTCCTTCTGAAAATAAACATAGTATAGGATAGGCTTACACAAATATAGATATGAATGAAAATGAAAAAATCTGGAAAAGACGTAACAGCACATATTCTATAAAACAAGGTGCTTATAGCATACTTGCAAAAATCTGACAAGTCTCTTATCGTATGTATCAGTAACTCCTGTAATTATTTCTTAATATGTGAAGATATGGAATATAAAAAGCTGATATTAATAAGAATGTTTCTACACTACATGTCATTTAAACTAGGTATACTACTATTACTAAACATGACATTAAGTAAGGGATAGAATTCATAGGAATGCTCTAATTTCGGATAGCGTGGGGGAACCTGTATCAATCGTAAAAGCTTTAAGGTTAAAAAGAAAATGTTTGATAAATTTAATTAACTAGCTGAAACTGGTACATAAGAACTAAAAAAGAACTGACTGAAGAAGGATGTCTTTCTAACCCCTATGACTTACTCATGGAACAAAGCCTAAAGTACTCCTACCCAAAACAGCACGACTTCCTGTGCCTGAAGACTAATGCAGCTAATGCTGACACCAGGCAACAGTCCACTCATAGGAGACAGAAAAGACTTCTGTGCAGGCCTACCCTCAGCCTAACTGCAAGTGCTCTCCCAGAGCCGCCTCTTCAGCAGGAATCTGTGTTGAAACACATGTTTTCTGCATAAGGACTTCATGAGGCACACACTCTGCTTCACTGGTGGGCCACTCTCATACTAACGTAATAATTTAGAGATTCTGAATAAGGACTACACATAACACATGACAAGACTTTTTTTTTCCTTAATGCTGAAAACAGAAAAATGCTTACATGTGTCAAAATGTATTATTCTAAAGATTTATCTTTGTATTTACCTACTGGCAACTTAGTAATATCATTTTAATGCTTCTATTACTGTGCTTTTATTTACACATTTCAAAGTTCCTGAGTAAATGATACACAATCTAGATTTCACTCAAATTCAAGTTCAAAAATGAGTTGATGAGAAACACATATATTTTTGCAATTATTTTCTCTAATTGCCTATTACTTAAATACTTACATGAACTAGACAGTACAGATCCTTTCTGATCAATAAGTCACATACTGAATCTGAACTCTAAGGAAGTTGTTAAAACTTCTTTTATGTTAAACTGAAATGAATACTCTAGAGAAGGAACTGCTAACTGCATAAATCATAACAGCAGAGAAAGAAAAGATGGCTTGCAAAAACAGGAAAGCTATTGCTTCATCACTCTTGGAAATCCGTTTTCATATTCAACCCTTTCACCTTTCATTCTTTTTCAAAAAGGATATGATTCATAGTCCAGTGTTTGTGTAAGTACTCCAGTTAGGACAAACTCTGCATTATGAACATCTGAAAGGAATGAAAATAAAAATTATGAAAATAAATGCACTGCTGTGTGTATATGCACACACACTTTAATACACAGCAAGAGCAGTAAACCGTACCTATTCCTCTGGCAAAATATTCTCGACATAAGTGAAGGTCATTTTCACAGGATATTAAGATTATTTCTGACAAACTCTAAAGAAAATAAAATAGGTTTAACAGTTAGAAAACAATAAATCTTCTATATGACAATAATGACATCAACAGCTTATTTTATTTCTATCCACCTTATTTTGTTTATGCTCCATGAGTTTCCGAAAGGATGGTTGTTTAGATAATACTTTTCCTCCTGCACATTCCACTATCGCTTTCATAGTTGAAAGACTTGGACAGATTCCAGGTGTGATATAAAAATATTTTCCCTAAAAATAAATAAAAATATATGTATAATGTTAAAAAAAAAATGCTTTTTATCTTTAGAGTACATAGTTTTTCATAAACCTATCCTGGTATTTTTGACACAAGTCTAATTTCATTCTGTTAAAAGAAGGTCCTGATCCTCAATTTGTCCCCACACCTAAGGTGAGCCTGGAGGAATCCATGTGCAGAACTTGGAAAGAGTTTAAGCACTTTCATATGTATGCATGATATATAATTATCAAAAGTAACTAGAACTTAAGGTTCTAAAAGAAAAGACATGAAATACTTCGTGTTATAAGCAAGAAAATTATGAACATTTTTCACTATTTCTATAAACCTCTAAAGTAGCATTATACTTAACCATGTTTATCTGTGAAGCAACAGACTGGCAAAGCACAACTGGCCTGTATTCCTTTTCTTTATTACCTCTGTATTACTTGGAAACTATACTGATGGTCAAATGGATACTGATAGTTTAATTAATTCTGTAACAACCTTGCCCCTAAGTATACCACAAATTACGACTTTGTTTCAAACAGCTCACAGGAAAATAACTGAAGCATTTAAAAAAATCAGATTATTTTAGGTAAAATATATTTTAACTCAGTATTGCAAATCATTTCTGATTCCTAGGTTGGCTCCTTAGATGTTTAAAGAATAGATTATCTTTACTGATATACTTATTCACTCTTTGATTAAAAAAAAAAAAAAAGAATATTTCCCAACTGTTCTATCTTATATATATTATGAAGTCTTTAGTTATAAATTATTTAGGCATACTTTCAATTAGTTTTTTCCAAGTATCTCCAGCTGAATACACAGTTAATGAGAATAGTATTAAGTATGTAATGTCCTCTAAAGAGTTGTTAAATGCAGAAAAATGAACTTAACTCTTATCAATTATTAATATGCTCTCTGAATACCCAGATGTTTTAAAACACGTATCACTAACAGATCTATTTATTTAATTTCTGTATTAATGCTTTACATTATAGTAACAAAAAGTACCCTAGCAGCATAGTATATTCCACTGGGGAAGCCCTCAGTAACTATCTACAAGGGCAGCAATCATGAAATGGAAGCCAGGGTTAAGTCCAGCTCCTCTGGATATGTGCTTTCAACTAATTATCTATTATCTCCATTGTATGATCTTTTACGTCTTCTTGGACTTATTTGATTTTTCCTTTAAAGTGTACCTTAAAGAGTGGAGAAACATGTGCCCTTTTTAAGGATTCTTCCAAACTGAAAGAGAAAAGCACTTCAGCCTCAGCATCTCGGAGAATGTAGTTCTGCTCATCTGGAAAACAAAACACCACCTCCTTTCAACTTTTCAAACATTCCGGAAATGGGGCACATGCAACCCAAGGACAGAACTCTCCCCATTACCCATGCACGTGTCATTGCTGGTTCACATTTACCTGTCACGTCCTCACCCATTACGTTTCATGACATGACATTCATACCCTGCTCCTGTGCCTCAAAACAGACAGACAGACCTAGACAGACAGATACTCTTTCTGTGTTCTCCAAGATCAGATAGTTCCTAACCTTTTGGGGTCATAAATGCCTTTTAAAAAATTTACTGAGACCTGTGAACCCTCTCTTGTTGCTGCATCAACCCCTCTGCCCCTCAAACATAATTTCACACACTATTTTAGGGAGCTCGCAAACTAAGTAAGCATAACAAGTTAAAACCTCTCATTACACAGTTATCTTCTACTACCATGATTTGAGGGACATGGGAGTTAATTAGGTGAATTTATCATACTTTACAGATTTACCAAAAACTTACTCCTTTAAAGCATATTAAAGTGTACACCAATTTTTGAGAGGATAGTTTAACCAGCATTTGAAGACTTCTGAGAATTTTTAACTGACTAGTTTTCATAGCAACATTTTCTTAAAGATCACAAAGTGGTTTATTCTCCTGACTACACTTCATATTCAGAAGAGCAATTCTTTTTCTTCCCCCTCATCATGATAATTTCCTAATAATACCAAATGGCATAATACAGATGGCTAAAATCTAACAAATACACTCATCAAAAGCATAAAGTTGGCAGAAAGAGTCTAGAGCAAAGTGGGGTCAACCAGACAATACACATTTTAGAATTTGTGGACCAGATGCTGTCTTTGTTACATATACATTGTCTTTATTTATTTTTAACAACGTTTTAAAAATGTAACAAACATTCTTACTTCATAGGTCATAGTTCACTCACCCCTGGTCAAGAGAAATCACATCACTAAATGCTGAAAATCAATCAGCCAATCAACAGATAAATAAATAATGCTGCTAAACTATTTTAAGTAAAAGAAGATAAGAATGTCTAAAAACTGGAGAACTAAAATGATGAATTAAAAAAATGAACAAAAAAGTACTGTCATACATAAAAAGATTTACTTAAAATATTAATTTCTGGGGGAAAATTAAGACTGATATGTCTCCTGAAGAGCTGGTGAGAGATTACAAAGAAGGAGCTAATGTTTATAGTACAGAAAATAAAATTGAAAATAGAAGAAAGTAGCTAAAACAATCCTGTCACATGAGGTAACTGACATTTTGGTTTCTTAAAAGAAGTCACCAGGTTATGTTAAGTTGGTAGTAGTCTGCAGAAAGATTTAACTTGAAATTTAAAACTTTTCAAAGCAGCACAAAGAAAATGAGTATTCCAGAAAGTGACTGTTGGTTAAGATCAGGGTCTCAAATTTTATTTAAATTAACAAATAAAAAATTCCAAACATAAGCACCTACCACTTCTTGAACAATTTTATTCTAAAACCATCAGGCCCATCATGGTGTGTCAGATCCCAGACTGATGTACAGAAACCAACAGGGTGGGAAGTGGAACACTGGAGCCCACGCAGAGAGAGGAAGGTGTTTGCAGAGGGGAGGCAGTGGTGGCTAAAACAGGAGATCAGTTACATCCAGGGGGACCAATCAAATAAGTGAATATATTTAGGATAATGGAGGCTAGGTTTCTCACTGTTGGAAAACATGGAAAGGGAGAAAACTAAAATGAGCCTTGTGGTGCAGGATCAGGATTGGACAGATATAGAAATACGGACATGAATAATCACTAAGAGGGCCTAAGAGTAGCAACATCCCGAAAACAATGAATATATTTAGCACCCAGATCTTGGTTTCTAAATACCATTTCTACAGAAAGAACTCAGGGCTCCTTGGAAAAATGGCTCCTTCCAGAGAGCCAGGGGAGAAAAGTGTAAGTCTGGAACATTCCTGCTGTGCCAGAGGCTAAGAAGTGATCAAAAAACGAGGGGGCACGTCAAAGGGTACAGAAGCCAAGCTGAATGGTTCCCACTGGCCAAAGTGGGGACAACTGAGCACAAACAATGGCAGTAATAGTAACAACCCAGTGAATAAAAAAGACAAAATAAGTCCATACGAATGTTTTGATCAAAGATTCCACAGAAGAATTCTGATCAAGAGGGAGAAAATACAGAACAAAATTTCAAATTCTCATGGAATGCAGACTTTCTAGAGCCATGAAGGCTGAATGAACCCCTAGAACTACTGCCCTGAGATAATCTTCAAACCTTAAACTAAAAATATCCCTGAAGTCTTCTTAAAGCCAAATAATAGTTTAGCTTAACTAGTAAAGAATGTCTGCCTTGAGCATTGTGCTCTCTTACATGAGATCAAACTGACAACTGCAACGCAAAAATTAGACAGGAACCTAGTGGGCAGTGAGTTTATGTTAATGAAGGAGGAACAACTCGGAAAAGGAGGGTGAGAACGGTCACACAACTTGAAGAATGTTATCAATGTCACTAAAGTATACATGAAGAAATTGTTGAACTAGTGTGTGTTCTGCTGTGTATATTCTCAACAACAAAAAATAATTATTTTTTAAAAAAATAAATGGATAAAGTGAAACTTTGACAAAGAACAGTATAGTTACATACTCTCAAAGTACGTCCCCACAGAATACTTATTAATAGTTGAAGAAAAAGGAGCAGTTGAACAGCAGAGGAGCCTGGCAGACATCAGTTTAATCAAATGATCAAAGTGATCATCAGCAATATGACAAATCAAAATTATGCAACATCTGTGAGCGGCTGGAGCAAGGGAGAATGAAGAAAACCAAAGACACAAGGGAAAGACTTTTCAGTCCAAAAACTAATGGACCACAACTACCACAATCTCTACCACACTGAGCTCAGCACAACTAGATGCTACCTGGCTATCACCACCGACTGCTCTGACAGGGATCACAGGACAGGGTCCTGGACAGAGCTGAAGAAAAATGTAGAATAAAATTCTAACTCCCCCCTCACCCCAAAAAAAAGACTAGACTTACTGGTCTGACAGAGACTGCAGAAACCCCAAGAGTATGGCCGCCGGCCACCCTTTCACCTCAGTAATGAAGTCACTCCTGATGGTTACCCTTCAGCCAAAGATTAGACAGGCCCATAAAACAAAATGAGACTAAATGGGCACACCAGCCAAGCAACAAGGACTAGTAGGCAGGAGGGGACAGGAAAGCTGGTAATGGGGAACCCAAGGTCGGGAAGAGGAGAGTGTTGATGCATAGTGGGGTCGGCAACCAATCAATGACACAAAACAATATGTGTATTAATTGCTTAAATCTAAATCTAAATCACAATTAAAAAAAAAGGATGTGTAAGAAGTTCAGCTACCCTGAGGCCACCATGTGGAGAGATCACATGGAAACAAATGAGAGGTTCCTGAGGAGCCCCAGCTATTCTGACCAGCCCTCAGCTGATTGAGACTTCCCAGTACAAGCACCAGACTTGTGAATGAAAACGCCGCCATCTGACTGCAACCAAATCACTGTTCATTGAATTGTGCAAGTGACAAATGCTGAATTGGCAAATGTGTTATCTATACTTTTTACGACAATAAAAATTAAAAGAAAAAAAAATTGTGCACATCTGATAGGATGCAATAAGAGGAACACAGCATCACCTCTGTGACAATCCTGCCAAAGATGTATAGCCTGAATTTAATAATGAGGAAACATCAAATAAACCCAGAATGAGGGACATGCAACAAAATAATCAACCTGTAATCTTCAAAGTTACAAGCAAAAACCAAGGAACTATTCTGGATTGAAGGAGACTACAGAGACATGGTAACTACATGTAATGCATATTTCTGAATTGGATCCTTTTGCTTTAAATGACATTATCGGGACAACTGGACACATCTGGATGGGGTCTCAGGATTAGACAGTAGTAATGGATCCATGTTGATCTCCCAGCTTTGATGGGTATATTATGGTTACACAGGAGAATGTACTTGTTCGTAGGAAATACACATTAAGGTAGTCAGGGTTGCTGGTGTACCACTTTCTCAACTTAACTCTCCAATGGTTAAGGAAAAAAGTAATTTGTATTATACCTGTAATTGTTCTGTAAGTTTGAGTTTATTTTAAAAAAAGAGAAAGGAAAAGAAAAACAAAATTTAATCAAAAGCCAAACTGGCTTAAAAAACAACCCTTAAATTGTGAAAAGATGGGGGCAAGTAAGAAATGAATCAGAAAGCAAAATTTTCAGGTACTAATTCCTAGAAATAAACTAAGGTGAAGCGTCTCCTTGAGAATTTTTTTTTAAAAATTGTGCTTTAGATGAAGGTTTACAGAGCAAATTATTTTCTCATTAAACAATTAATACATGTATTATTTTATGACATCGGTTGCCAAGCCCACGACAAGTCAACACTCTCCCCTTCCCAAGCTTGGGTTCCCCGTTACCAGCTTTCCTGTCCCTTCCTGCCTTCTCATCCTTGCCCCTGGGCTGGTGTGCTCATTTAGTCTCATTTTGTTTTATGGGCCTGTCTAATCTTTGGCTGAAGGGTGAACTTCAGGAGTGACTTCAGTACTGAGTTAAAAGGGTTTCTGGGGGCCATACTCTCAGGGTTTCTCCAGTCTCTGTCAGATCAGTAAGTCTGGCTTTTTGTGAATTTGAATTTTGCTTCATATTTTTCTCCAGTTCTTGTCTGAGACACTCTATTGTGATCCCTGTCGAGCAGTCGGTGGTGGTAGCCAAGCACCATCTAGTTATGCTGGACTCACTCTAGTGGAGGCTGTGGTAGTTGTGGTCCATCAGTTCTTTGGACTAATCCTTCCCTTGTGTCTTTGGTTTTCTTCATTCTCCCTTGCTTCAGACAGGGTGGGACCAGTAGAGTACATCAGATGGCTGCTCCCAAGCTTTTAAGACCTCAGATGCTACTCACCAAAGTAAGATGTAGAACATTTTCTTTATCAACTGTGTTATGCCAATTGAGCTAGATGCCCCCCAACACCACGGTCC